TTTCTCAAATATTTGGATCTGTGGTTTGTTGAATCTGCAGATGCAAAACCCATGGACAACTAGAAGCAGCTGTAGCACTAGGTGCTGAAGCAGACGGAGTTAGAGGCCGGCCTGCCTGGGTCACAGTGCTGAGCAGTACCGGCAGGGAACGACCTGGTGCCCACTGCATGCATCTCCATACCTGCCCAGAGCCTGGGCCATGCCAAGCCAGCACCCTCAACACAGCAGGAGCCAGGGTGGGCTCCACAAGGGGCAGAAGCCTCCACGGCAGGGCGGGAAGTCAGGGAGAGGAGTGCCGCCCAGAGGGAGTCTGGTGTGGGCATCTTGGGGGCACCTTCCTGCCTCCAGCTGGAGCCCCTGCTGGGTGACAGCATGGTCCACAGATAATGGGAAAGCATGTTTTCTGGCTGAGACAGGGGTCACTAAAGGCCACAGTGTCCACATGGGCCAGGGTGGAGGAAGTTGGCTGTTCCCCACTTTGCAGGGGAAAGGCCAGCAAGTAGGAGACCCAGAAGTGCCCGCTACCACAGGAGAGGCCAGGCCTGTTCCCGCCTTCTCGAGCCAGCCTCCAGGAGTTGGGTCCACAGGCCCTGCTTCCTGGCTTTATCCTTGCAAAGGTGTCACCAAGTATACTGCACTGAGCTCCATCCTGGTGAGATACCCGGAGGACAATCACTTATTCATTCAACTACCAGTTCCCAAGTGTCAGCTGTGCTAGGAGTCCAGGAATCCAGGAATCCAGAAACCCAGGGAAGTCCCTGCCCAGGAGCGTGCCCAGAAGCATTCTGTCAGCCACAGAACAGCAGCATCAGGGGAAGGTGATGTTGAAACCCAGTTCTCATGACTCGGCTTAGAGTCATAGTGACGCAAGCCGACCACCCAGGAAGAGCAGCAGCCTCAAGCGGCCGGAAATGACCAGGGTCCTGGGCACGCACACGTGTACACTGGAGGGGCACAGAGGCCCCAACACTGAAGACCTGACCTGTAGTCTCGTCCCGCAAAGTAACAGCAGCTCTCCTTTCTGAGCATTTCCTGTGAGCCAGGAACAAGACTGCAAAGTCTCACATGTACCTTTTTTTTTTAATTGCACCCTCGGGACAATCCGTGAGATCATGACCATTTTCATCCTCAACTAAGAGATTTGGAAACTGAGGCTCAGAAAGGGACACAAGCTGGGCATAGCGGTGCACATCTGTAATCCCAGCACTCAGGAGGCTGAGGCAGGAGGATTGCTGTGAGTTCAAAGCCAGCCTAACCTACATAGCGAGACATTGTCCTCAAACAAGCAAGCAAGCAAACAAAAATAGAAAAGGTCACAGAACTCAGACCAGGCAGAGCCAAGATTCTAGCTCCCAAGTGCGGAATGGCGCCGGCACACTAGCTGGTCCCCCAAGAAAGGATGGGGTGCCTCAGGAGGGGCATGGCAGGATGAGCACTTCCTATCTGTGGAGACTGGTGTGTGAGTGTGCACACACCCAGGCTGGCGGCCTCACGCATGCTCTATCTCACAGAGGACAGATCCTGGTCCACGTAAAGAATGGGCCATTGGCAGGGCAGGGCCGGGCAGCCCAGTGAGGAGAAAGGGCCCTTCTGCGTCACACAGTGTCCAAACAGCAGAGCTGGAACCGGCTCGGAGAGCCAGAACACAGGCCTCTGTGGCCCTCAGCTGCTTCTCTGTGAATCAGCTGCCCACAGGAAGCCACGGGGGTGGGGAAACCCCGAGGGGAGTCAGGAGCAATCCGCTCGCTCGGGGATACCAGCTGGGCCCTCAGTGCAGGCGCTGGCTTCACGGACAGCATCGGGAAGGGAAGTACTGCACCCCTCAGCACGGCCCCTGTTCACCTCTGGGCTTCCCTCCAGCCCTCAGACCCTGGCCCGCAGGAGGGGAAGCGGGTGGGCAGGCCTGTTCCTGCTGAGATCAAACAGCCTCCCTCCTCGCCCGCCTCTGGAGCCAGCTCAGGGCTGTCTGCTGTTCCCAGGCTTTCCCAGGGGTGAAGGAAGTCTGAGCACCCGCTGGCCCCAGGGCTCCAAACCAGGATCCCCCACGGGTCTTGGGCCTGCTGGGCTGTGCCCCAGGAGGGGTCTCCAGTCTCTGGGAGTCAGGGGCTGGTCCCCGCGGTGGAGGGGGACAACCAGTAGCAGCCTCCTCCTCTGAGGTCTGAGCCCCGCCGAGAGAGAGCAGAACGCCAGAGGAGCCCGAGGGAAGCAGGCCCCACTCGGTGAGACTCGTGTGCCAGGCCGGGTGCCCACCAATGCCAGGGCCGGCCCTGCTCGGCCAGGACGCTCCTGCCCTTGACGCTTCCTCTTCACCTAGCTGTGCAGACCCCTGCTGCCCGCTGCCCGTCACCACAGCCCTCGGCTCTCTAGTGACCACTGCTGGACTCCCACCTCACCCCACGCGGCACAGAACCCCACTCTGCCGTGCCACTCCCCAGCTCCAACGCCTTCCGTGGCTCCCTTTTCTGCAACTCAAATGCAAACTTCTCGCTTTGGCGTTCGAGGTCCTGCCCGAGCTGCTCCCACCCACCGTTCTCACTCTGCCAGTCCGCAGTCCCGGCCTCCACTCCACTGGTCGCCCAGCAGTTTCCTGAAGCCCTGGGACAGGAAGCTCCTTCCCTCTGCCCCAGCGTCCTCCTGTGCTAGAGGCGCAGTCTGCCCTCGGGCTGCCCAAATTCTCCAGGCCTTAGGCCCTCCAGCCTCCCATCTCCTACCTCCTAAGAGTCCTGGCGCCTGGTCAGATTGGTTCTGAGGGTGCAGCCTCGCTGTCTCCATCACAGGGGCCGGGTGCGGGGCTCCCATTAGCTGCTACTAGGCCCGGTTCGCAACGAACCCCACCCACTGCCCCACCTGCTGGGCTCCCTCCCTCCCACGACACCAAGCTCCATCTAATGCCCCTGAAGGCCTCAGATGGGGACCCGGCACCCCACCTTAACCCGAGCCCGACCCGGACTAGGGAGCCCAGGCAGAGTCCACTCAGGTCTCAGCCCTCACCCTGCCCTGCTTTCTCAAGTGTCTGACTGCCGCCCCCCGCCCCACACCCATGTGCACCTGTCTGTGTCATGTGGCTCAGCCTTCAGTGAGGTTGTCCCACGGTCCTTCCTGGCTGGCTCCAGGGTGCGGCGGGACACACTCCCTGACCACGCAGGTGACAAACAACACCTCAGTGTCCCTTGTGCCCAACCCTGCTCAGATGGACAGCAGGTGCTCACGCTGCCCCTCACCTCCACCCCCAGCCAAGCACGCAGTAGAGTCGCTGGAGTCTGGCCCTGGGCAGCACGGACCCTTGAGAGGCCCAGAGCCCTGCACGTGAGAGAGCTTCCCAGCATGGACACGCGGGGACAGGGAAGCCCTCGCTGTGAGCAGCTCAGGACGAGGACAGAGGCGTCTAGCTGGCTCACTCCCCACCCCGTGCCCCCACTCTGTCTCCGACAAGCAGGTGCTCAGTAAATGGGTTTTGGTTTATTCTGTTGAAAACCCACCAACTTCAAACAACATTACACAACACTCAGCCGGTCTGGTTCAGGTGACCGTCTCCCCACACCCCAAACGAACGCAGTGATGTTGGTTGGTGGCAGGTGCCAACCCCTGGTCCTCACCAGCTTCCAGGCCTCCACACAACCCTCCTTCGCCAGCAGGAGCTCACACACACACACACACACATACACACACGTGTCCACACCACAACAGCTGGAAAGAGAGGCCTCCCAGGGTGGGCACAGGCACTTGCCAGGCACTGTGCACGCTTTATTCTATTGACAGTTGCTATGATGTCAGGTTTGACGTCACTCACAGACCAGGAAACTGAGGTTAGAGGGGGGGGTGGGACCCAAGTCAGTTTGGGCCCAAAACCCAAGCCCTGACCACAGACCTAGTCTCCCAGCAGCCATGGTTGGGGACAAGGCAGCTACCACCAATGGGGACAGAGTCTTTGGCCTCCAGAGAGAGCCCTGGGGCTGTCGCAGGAGGCCCAGGGCCTGGACTTGACTCAGGGCCCAAGTTCGGTGGGAGTTTCCCTTTTCCTCCCTGTTGCCCTACCAGAACTGCTCCTTCCTGTCCCCCCAGCCCGCCCCCCAGCAGCTAACTGGAAAAGCCCCACTGAATTTCCACTGGAAGTCCCAGGCCCCCTGGGGAGCTGTCAGGACCTGGAGGAGAACAGCACGAAAGCTCCCTGCCTTGGGATCCTCTCCCCAGGGCTCTCCTCCCCTGGAGGGGCCAGTGTGATCGCTGAAGGAGGAGGGGGCTTCACTGAGCCCCCTTCTGCTTGGAGAGGAAGGCCCCGGGGCAGCGGGCTCAGCTGCGACCCTCTGGGCCTCCAGTGCGCACCTCTGCGCTCCCCTGAGCTCACCTAGCCCCACTTCCTCCTCCAGGAGCCCGGGAGGCCCAGGGCCTGGAGCGGGCCGGGCCCGGAGCCATGCAGCT